CCTGTGTATGAGTAGAGGCCTTGCGACGGGCCGATCCCTCGTCCAAGGAGTCCTACCGAATGTCTATAGATCAAGCCAACGGAAAGTTGGGACCCGCAGTGCTCAGGCACTTGAAGAACGGGTCGTTCCCAGTATTACTATTAGCCATATAACAATCTTATCGTCAGGTAACAATTTCTGTACCAAAAATATATAGTGATTTTACCTCAGGTGACAGTTCCTTTGCCTCATCATACTGGATCATGTTCTCTTGAGCAACATATGAGAAAATCTCATTGGTCATTTCTGTACACAAAGTCTTGATGAGATACTTGGCTAATGGTTGTTCAACATTCTTGTCACTAAACTGTTTAATTCCTTTCTCAAAGAGTCTAACATTTGTAAACATTGCATTTAACTTATCTTGAAGTTCACTGTGTGTTTTGCGTCTATTTTGGGCTGTGGTGGCCATGGTGCTTTCAAATATAACCTCAGCTGCAACTAGGCCAGACATGTTCAGCAAACTACAATAAAATAAATTCAAAGCATTACATATTGTATACACAGCCACAATTATAATTTCTCCAGTTCTGAAACTTCAACTGTAAATTATCTGAGAACCAGACCAGTCTCTTCACAGCTTTTTCAGGTGGCATTAATATGCAGTACTGATAAAGCATATAATATAAGTACATACAATATTATTCCATAATTACCCAATAATAATATTTTAGAAACTACATTTATTCAATGCATATACGGCTCAGGGTCCCGCGCTGTAGCCGCGCGGTCTGAGCCATCATGCTTCAGACCGACGATACGGAATGCGTGCTGGTTCGAGTCTCGGGGGAGAAGAAATTTTCTCATGACCTTTCGACCAGTGAATGGGACCGGTGCCAACCCAGCATCATGAGGAAATTGGGGAGCTACAATGAGTAGCGTAATCCGGTCATGAAAGCTAGCAATGGCTGGGGGTTCGTCGTGCTGACCACACGTCACCCTATATCTGGTTGGATGATCGTTCATCTCTGCTTAGGCATGTGAACGTGAGGCCAGCAGCCAGCTAGTCGGCTTTGGCTCTCAGAGGGCTGTTACGCCACGGATTATTATTATATATATATATGTGGCTCAGGGCACCCTGAAGATGAAGGTGATTCATTCCTCAAAAATGCTGATAACCACCTACAAGAATACATGGTATCATAAACCAGAACATCACAATCTACAATATTACAACCAAAGGTTCAATACTGATAACAAAATCTTATATCAGACAACACAGAGATGGAAATATAATTAACATCATGAAACAAAACAAATGGCCTTATTAAGAGAAATTTTGGAAAATAAATGTTAACAGAAACAAAAATAAGAATATATAACAACTTTGGAATATGACAGTGAGGCATAAGTACTGAAGAAAATGGACATCAAAAGATTGGAAACATCACAAACGAGGTTTCTATGACTTTTACTGGGTATTACAAGACTATATCATCAACAAAAAACAGATAACAGACAAAAATTGTTTAAAATATAATCGGTAAAACAGAAAGAAGGCTGCCAGAAGAACTAGCTATATATAACACACTACAGAATGAAAAAACACACAAACAGAATACTAGACACGTATCACAATATTAACCACTAGGGCAGAGATCCTAGATGGCCAAAGAGGACATTCAGAGACACAATATATCCAAAGAGTTTAGAAAAAGGCAGTTAGGTATAATTCTGAATATTTAACAATAATAATAGTGATGATGATAATACACTGACAGTTATATGACTTCAGTCAATCCATAAATACTTACGGGTGGATATGATTTGCAATTTCTACTATGAGTTCGGCAAGGTCATCACCTTCTTCTTGCAATAATTCATCAGCAGTTAGCACACCTTTGATCTCTGCAAAGCTCAAGAGTTCCAACTTATTAACGGAACTCTTTGATGTCTTCCCACTTGAAGCTGTCTCCTCATCTGAATCATCTCCAGCTGCTGCTTTCCCACGCAAATATTTCTTTTTTGTAGATTTTGTCTTAGTTTCCCGACCCTATCCACATGAACAAACTTAGATTTTTACAATTATGCAAAAAAATAACAATTACATTAGACAGCCAAGCTACACTCTATCTTGCCATGCATGGAATTATTACGTTTATATATAAACATAAAAAAATGCATATAATTGTTTTATTCTACATCAAAGAATACAGTAACATAGCACGTTATTTAGCTCTTCCTTGAACAACTTTACACTTCATATAACAAACATACTTGTTACTTTACAGATAGCTTATTCATTTTAAACTTGTTTCAAATTATGGGTATTAGACAGTCCTGGTTAAATAGCATAAAAAAATCTTGAGAATTCTGTGTACTACTGTCTAACATCAACAATTTAATAGGGGTATGATTATAAGAGATACGAATAAAAGGGCATCCAGCTGAACAAACAAATCACATCAAAATCTGTCCAGAAATCAACACAAAATGTTGAAAAATGGCTAGTTCCTAGAAACTATCAATTATTTCTATGTGATAACTAGGACGCAATATACATATTAATGCATCTTCAAGATTATCTTCAAATTTATGATGTATTACATAATGCAAGACTTCACATTAAAACTGTTACTTCAGTTCAGTATTTTTATTGCAGGGAGACAAATGTCCTAACGCAGTCTGCCATGATGAAGAACTGTGAATTTAAATGCCTTATTCTTCTTCTTTTTCGGTTTTAACAATGTTTGTACATTGTCCAGTACTCTTTATGGGTCCCCAACTTTTCAGTTGGCTTGATCTATAGACATTCGGTAGGACACTGCGGACCCCATGCCTTACTCTATTACTAAAATAAATATTTTTGTTAATGAGCAGTATGTTACTTTGATGAATATGGTACCTGTGTTCCTCCACCACCTTTCCCTCCAGTGGCCTTTTTACGTCTTTCCTCCCTACGATCACTCTTGGTACTTGATTCATCTTGCTCTGCAAGACCTCTGTTGTTTTGCACCTTACTCTCTGCCTGAGCCAGAAGATATGCTCCAGACGAGACAACCTAAAATACAAATAATTATATTAAGTGAATAGGGGGACACCAACATAGTGTATTTTCAATTCTAAGTCACTGGTCTTGAAATTCTTCTACTGCAGATAAAAATATATTGTTGCAAAACGAACCACACCCGACAGATATTATGCTGCACAGGGGCAAAATTTTTTTCCTTGCTTTCACTAAATTTTTGAAAATATACATTTTAATATTATCCTCTCATATTCACCCAGATATTCCAAATGATCTCTTCCCTTCAGGTGTTCCAATGAAAATTTATTGATTTCTCACATCTCCCATTGATGCTATGTGCCTCACCTCTCATCCTTGATCAGATCACCTTAATAATACTTGAGAGAACAGATTTCGATGACAATTTTTTAGATAGTGACACTGAAACTTGATTCCTTAGAGAGAAACTGTGACACAGTTGCTGAGAACTGAGGAACAGCTACAGAACTTAACAACAGATCAACAGAAAGGTTGAATTAATTTATGAGAATTGACAAATGTAAGTACATAGAAATATTTGGCAAACATACCTCCTCAGCTTTCTTCTGAATAATGGCATCAAATGGCTTGGTAAGTTTCTGAATAAACTGCTCTGTGAGTACCACAGTACTACAAAATACGTGCACATTCTGACTTGTATATTTGTTTTTGGAGTTCTTCAGAACTTCTGTTAGAATTTCTTTAGCATCTTCTGGTTCAAAAAATGATGGTAACAAGGGCTGCAACATAAAAAATAAACACATACGAATAAAGTGCAGCTATATTCATTACAAATTAAAACTAGAATAACTAAATCTTTGACCAAGATCTGCTATCAAGGAAAAGTATGAAATATGTCTGCTAGCAATATGACTGAAAACATTATTACAATCAACAAATCTTACATTCTTGTCATAACAG